AGTGTTGCTCTTCCTTTCAGAAAAATAAATAGAAAATGAATTGCATATATAACAATCTTGCAAAGTGTGCTATTTTTTTGTAATTGGGAAGAAATGGAGCCACACCTGATTGTAAAACAGATGAGGATCCAGCTCATTTTTTGACTAGTTTATCAAGATCTTTAGAGCCAGTCACCTTGGAGGGTGCCAGTTGGGGTGAGTTCTTTCCCAGGCAGACCCAATTACTGCAGTTCTGTGAGTGCCTTGATTCTCAGTGGAACAAGACTCATCCATCACTAGCAGACATAGCAGAAAGAAACATTAACAAGTGAGAAGTTGTTTCCAGAAAAGATTCCTTTTTACAATGTCATATTAGTACGGTAGCTCAATCCAGCAAAAAAACACACTAACTGTTAGAGTTTTCTGATTCCTGTCCTAGATACTCTTTGGGCTTGTCTACGCATGCTTTTACACATACATAAACTTAATGCACATTTGCCTAATGAGCATTAAAGCAATTTAGCACATGTCTACATATGCATGCGCTAAGATGCATTAACGCAGTGTGCAAACCGATTTGGTACTAAAGTTAGTCCCAAGTCAGTCGACATACACAGTGTTAATGTGCTTTAGTGCATCTACATGTGCGTTAAGGTGCTTTAGCTATTTGCAAAAGCAGGTATCAAATTTAGGCGCAAATAGCCTAAAATCACCATTTTTAAGGCACACTAAGGGTGCGCACATGTAGACCTGTGCCCTTAATGCACCTTAAAAACAGCTAATGTGCCTTAAATCATCATGTGTAGACACACCCTTTGTTAAGGAACTCATGAGAGTAAAATGGACACAATCTCAATTATTGTGATAAATAGAAAGTGGGACTAAAAGGTTAGACTTGAATAATTTCTTAGTAACTTTAGATAGAAAACATTAAAGGCTGGAGTTTCCAGACCTGTGCTAGTAAACAAGTGCCTATAAATAATATTTATCATTCTGATATTTTGACTTCTGAATGTCTGCATTTTATATTCAGGAATTAGTAGACATGTTATCTCCTCGTTGTTAACGAATATTTTATAAATAACCTTAGACTCTTGTACTTTGCACCTCTTGGCTGTTTGCTAGTAAAGGCCATGTTCAAAAAGGTTCTGACTAAGACAAAGATAAAGAGTTATTTCAGAATGCACCTGTTCAGCATTTCCTAATAAAATATTAGATGAAAATTTATCAGGAATAGATTTTAAATATAAAAAATCCCCTAAATATCCATCAAGCAATACCAGTATTATCCAAGCCAAAAATGTGAATCTTTTGCCAGTAATGGGTTCCTTGTGAATGGGCCCCTCTGACTTCTATGATCTTTCGGAAGGGCAGAAGTCTGTCTGCATGAAACCCATTACAGGATCATTTTATACTATTGGAATAGGACTTCTTAAGACCAATGATAAACCAAGCCCCTATCACACAGACACATGACCAAAAGATAGTCCTTGCCCCTAAGAAATTTACCATCTAAGTATAGAAAAGGAAAAATGGCTAGAAATACCCCAGCTGGTTCTAAATGAGCCAGCTCAGATCCTGGAAGCATTACGGCCATGTTAGTGAGGAGCTTCCCTTCTTAGCAGGATAAATTAACTAATGCTGGGAGTGTGTACATGAGACATTTACTGTCCAGTTGACTAGCTGTACAGCAAATGTCTTGGTATCTACACATGCACCTCTAATAGGCTGGAATAAACTAATTTACTCTGCAACAGGATAGTATGTGTAAATACTAAAATGTAGAATGTGAGCAATTATACAGCAGCACACATGTAGACACTGGAGGGGCTGATAGGCATGAGGTTGCTTTAGTATGGGGACTGCATGCTGGCTAGCCCCATGAAGAAACTCCCTTGTGCGCCAGCTAGCTCCTCCACAGCACGCTGAGCCAGAGGGTGCAGCCCTCAGCTGGCAGGCTGAACCCCACAACCCCTAGCCAGTCAAGGCTGCTCCAGGCCAGCTCCATGCCTTGTGAAGCTTATTGCTCTGGAGTTAATTGCACATTCAAACAGCATACCTGGGAAAAATAAACTCCAGAGCAATAAGCTCCACAGTTTATTCAGGCAGTGTAATTGCACATGTAGACGCGCCTGCAGAATGCAGCACTAACCCAGCTATGCTGTTTCCAATACTCCATGCTAGTTTGGGTTTCTTTATGCTTTTCTACACAGTTCTGCATAGACCATATACAGTGTTACAAAAATAGTTAGCATGAAACCAAATGGCCATAGTTATTACTTGGAAGAACCATCTTTATGGTTGCTGGTTTACCAGAAATATAATTACAAACTAACACAATAAAATAAACTGAAGGCTTGATCCAGGAAACCCTTCTAATGCAGAATTAAGTGTTTAGGATTGGCTCCAAACGGAGAAGTAAATGTTTTATAGCATTTTTTATAATAATTTCGGCACTCAGGCACAAATTTAGCAACATAATTAGGAGGGCGTGTTAATATGACAATTCTTTTTCTTAAAAACGTATGCACCTCTTACGTGCTTCACTGGCTGGACCCAGGCCATAGAAGGAAGAAGCCAGTTGGTTCCAACTCTTCAGGTATTACAGAATCCTAGAAAAATGGGGTTGAAATGGACCTCAAGAGATGACCTACTCCAAACCGTTGCTCAAGCCCTCAACATCCAGGTCTAAACATTTATCTTGTCAAAGTACCTAACATAACTGCACTGTTAAGGACTCATTAACAAATTTACCCCAAGGAGAGATGGAGTAAACCTGAAGGAATCATGGCATTATTTGTCTTTCGTTTCCCTATATTTGAGATAGTACAGGTTTTTGTACCTATCACTACCTGCTTGTTTGTGTTCAGCAAACTGGCCTATTTAGTACAAGGCATATGGCTGACTGATGAAAAAGACACAGGAGAATCTCTAGGGGCTAAAGTCATTCCTAGCAAGAAGAGGCAAAAACTCCTCAATTTAAATGGAAGTTGTGCTATGGCTATAAGTGAATCTCCATCATTCTTTGTATTTCTGTAGCTGTGATTCCCCCAGACAGAACATAGACATAACAATAAAGATCAGAAACTTATTTTTCTGTAGAAACAAGTGCTGAAAGGTCTTGAGTCTCAGTCTATGGTCTAAGTTTGGAGTGTTATAAAATAAGAGGACACGTATTTTTTCCAGACTTACTTTTTACATTCATAAACATAAGAGAGCTCTGAAGGACGGTAAAACAGTTCTTGGAAAATACCCCCAAAACAAGTGGCAAGGGTTTTTTGTTTGTTTAGTGACATCTATTGAATTCTTGCTCGTTGTCATATGGATACATTAGGTCCAATATACAATATATGCATATACAGTCAGTCCAAAAAACTATACCACAAAAAAACCCTTGAATCTTGGGTATTTCCTGGACCATCATAGCTACAGCAACATTCAAACACTCCCAGAACAGGTGACACAGTAGAGACACAAAACCGTGAACTAGTGATACCTCTGTTGGAAGGATGAGGAAGAGCTGAGAGGAGGTGCTCCAACCATCTACAGCAGAACTGTCCAACTGGTACCCTGCCTCCCAGCTCCTACCCAGCTGTCATAGTCCCTATCATTCTAGTTGCAGCATCAGCCATGGTCTTGGGGCTCCCTCTGCATCCTCCAGCTTCTGCTGCATCCCCCAACCCCAGGGCTTCAGTGGACCCAGTGGCCCAGAGTGCTTATGCAGCAGAGAGGTTCAGTGGCAGAGCCTGCAGCTGGGGAGTGGAAAGTGAAATGGGGCACCTCACAAACACACTGTGCAAAGGGGTGCTGCATGTGCACATGGTGTGCAGCCTGGGGGGTGTGTGGCATGTAGGGCAATGTCATCTGAACCACAGGGTTTCCCATGCATCCAGAAATTTAGTGGTAGGGGAGCAGTGCCATTATAAATTGCCATGGCTGGATCCAGTCTGTGGGCTGGAGTTTGAGTGCAACTGTGCTACAGCATGAATTTTAGAACCTGGCTTTTACATTGCTTTGCTTTTTTTCTTTATTTTCACCCATTAAATTCCCTTTCCATCAAAATGGTATCAGAAAACTGCCAGTAGCCTGAAAATTTCAACATTTGTTGAAGGGCCAGCTTGCAAAGAATGGCTGCAGACTTGAGGGTGCTTTGGGCTCCCCAAATCTGTAGTTCTTTTATAATTGAAAATCAAGAATTTAATAATCTTTAACAATGCTTATATTTACTGTAATATAGGTTTCCTTACAGACAAAAAACCCACAAGTGTCCTGTCTACTCTCTTTCTTCCTCCAGATTTAGTCATTTTTTTAAATTTAAACCTGCTTCTGAAAAAAAAAATCATGAAATCTGTAACACATTTAAATCAATGTGGCTATTGCGAGTATCTGCACTTTGTAGTCTCTAAATGCATTCTAGTAAACCCTTGCATATAACTACCTTATCCATGTGTTTTGTTGTATGTCTTTGCTTGCCTAGCCCATACTTACTTTATTAATAGGAAGGAAATTCAAGCTTATCTCTTCCATCAAATGTTGAAAGATCATCACAGTTTTTAACGAAAATTAGCTCATATGCTACTGAAATTATGTAGTATGCCAAATTCTGTCTTTGGAGACACCGGGTTTAGCTGAAGCGCATTGGCAAAGCCTTGGTCTGGAAACAATCCAGAATCCTCCCCCTCTCAGACACTGTTACAAGAGAAAAGACCCAAACTTGCCGCCTTGTACTCTCCAAGGGGATACCTATATATGCAATTATAGTATCTTAAAGACAGGTCTGCCTGCAGTTAGATTCACCAAGGGACTGTGCATGTGTATTCCACAGGAGACTATGGACCCACTGTAATGTAAAAATAATTTTGGATCCAATCATAAGAAGAAATAACTTACATATGTCTTTGGGGGTGGGGGCTTATACCGTTTAGTGAAAGGAAAAAAATGGAACAGTGATTGCTTGCTGACCTAGATATGTTCTTTTTTTTTTTTTTTTAATTTAAAACGTTTTCATTTTCCATCAACAGGCACAAGCATATTTACTGTTTATGAAGCTGCTTCTCAAGAAGGTTGGGTGTTCCTTATGTATCGAGCAATTGATAGTTTTCCCCGATGGCGTTCATACTTCTATTTCATCACCTTAATTTTCTTTCTTGCCTGGCTTGTTAAGGTACTATGCAATTTTCTGTTTTAAACCTGTCTAGAATATAACTTATGTTAGAATGAATTTCCCTTCCTTTCTGCATGCTGAGGCTCCTAGTAAGCCTTTAATTTTTATCTTTTTTTTTTTTTTTAATAGAATGTGTTCATTGCGGTCATCATTGAAACATTTGCTGAAATTAGAGTGCAATTCCAGCAGATGTGGGGGTCCAGAAGCAGTACTACTTCAACAGCGACTACCCAGGTGAAGTACTGATATAACTCTGAATACTTAGGTACTCTACATGCTCATTTGTTTTTAGTTTACTGAATAGTAAGACACAAATTCTGATTAGCGCATGCTATATTTTATCACCTAATATATATTGTACTGTATATGTGTGTGTGTGTGTGTGTGTGTGTGTGTGTATATATATATATATGTATTTTTCAGTTGTTATTATCTAATTTTATAAAGCAATAGAGCACATTGTTCAAATAGAGTATCTTAAAAAAGAATAATACAGAAGGAAAGGAGAAGAGTTAAGTTATTGGGAAGCTAGCGTATTTTAATGGTTGTGTGTTTATTATGTACTGCTTAAACTCCCTTTTTGTCAGATTTATATAGGAAGCAGGATAATTCCTCTCTCTCATTTAATTTTTGGGATTTGAACTATTAATGAATATGGCTTCTGTAACCAAGCGGGGTGGGGGAAAGATTGCAAAGTGTGACTGGTAGTAATATAAGAGGTGGTCAGAGTGAGTGTAGTAGATGCTGCTGGCACTGAAAAAATGGTGAGATGGCAAAAGTGTAGTGTTTAGGAAGGAAGGGAGCCACAGCAGAAGACACTGTGATTCTGATATGTGAAAGTGTATCAAGGGGGAACCACAGAGTTTGTGGACCTGGAAATGGGAAGAAGCCACATTAGAAGAGATTGTTCATTGGTTTGGGTACCAGGATGAAATTGCTGTTTTGTCCTTGAAATATTGGCTACACTATTGTGGCAATCATTTTAAGTATTTGGCACATATGAATGGCCATGTTCTTTCAGACCTCTACTCGACCTAGTGAAATACCTTAACATCAGGCAGTATCATCTATCTATTGTGGAAAAAACCTTCAGAAGGTAGATATGAAAAGTCTATGATGAGGAGAGATGTTTTACTCTAATCCCAATAGCTAGAGATTGATCTTTGTCTGAAAACCTGAGGTTTTAAATCTATTCATTTTTTAAAATGCATTTTGATTAAACACTTGGATATTCTTGTTCTTCACATATAAAATGAGTCATTATTATGACTTCTGCTAATTTCTGTGCATCATTGATATGTTATTCCAGTGATTTCCACAGTCTAAGTGTAGTTGCCTCAAAACTTATTTCATCAGTTTAAAATCTTTTCCATATCAAGACGGCAACCTTTTTCACACAGTCTACATTTAGCATCTGGAACACATTATCATAAAGTCTTGTTGAGGCTAAGGCTTCAGGGGAAACCTGGCCTGAACCAAATGTACTTCTGTATAAAAATGATTCCACCAAAAATATCAAATCAGAATACAATTAAAAGATTTCCATATTTATACATACATCCCTATCTTCAGTGCCACAAGCTCTACAAGCAATAGGGCCTAAGAGAGAAATACCTCTACAAAGAAACTCTAGAAGCAGCCAAGTCTGGGTATCTCTGGATTATGGGAACCGTAATTATATTGACATCAAGCCAGACAAATATTATCGTATTTGACATAAATGCTGTTTATAGAATACATATAGTTTGTGGACTGACTGCAGATAAATGATTATCTGGTTCCAAAAGTGATGTTACCTAAAACACTTATGCAACAGGAGTCAGTTTTAAGAGACCTAAAAAAAAGTAATTCATCCTCTTTCTGTATTAGTTGGCATAGTCTAAAGGTGTTTTTCTAATACAATGCACCAGATAAGCTCAGATATTTCTTGGTTTGGGGATGAAGTGACCTTGACAGAAAAGTTGACAAATCAACTAATGTGTGTAGAAAATGAGTCTATTACTAATCAAAGAAAAAGTCTCTCCTAAGTGCTGGTGGGCTGATGTAAAAGTGATCTCTACAAGAAGGTAAAGGGAGGACTCCCAGATGATGCCTAAAGATATCAGAGTAGCTCATTACCTTTAAAGGAATACATGCACATTTCCTGAGCACACATGTAGATGCTCCACTAGGGAGTAGTTTCCCTGCTAATTTCCTATATTTCCTGCTAATGGCTTTCAGAGAAGAAGTTCTTACACCAGCCAACCCAAATCTGTCTCCTGGCTACTGGCAAAAGTCAGTTAATCTGACGTGTTTAATTTTCTAAAGGATAGGAGCGTATTTGAAATTTTTCAGTTGGAGCCAGGATATTATTTCAAATATTTAGTTATACAACAGTAAATCCAGAGTACCTTCATTTATGAAGAAGACATGGCAGAGTGGCACCCTACAGACTTATTCAGAGAGGCATAAGTTTTCATGTTGCTTATTTTCTAAATTAAGTAGTCTCTAAGGACATTTATACACGTACCTTTTTGTCATGCAACATGCAAGAGATCTGCTGTTTCGGAGCAGACTCAATTAATTAATTGAGGTAACAGGTAAGGTTTTATTGTATGCCACACACACACACCCACCCAGCCACATGCCACAGAGCCAAGTTTTGAGTCAACTACACTTAGACTGTGGAAATCATTGGAATAACATATCAACAATACATAGCAATTAGCAGAAGTCATAATAATGACTTGATTTATATGTGAATAACAAGAATATCCAAGTGTTTAATCAAAAATGCATTTTAAAAAATGAATAGATTTAAAACCTCAGGTTTTCAGACAAAGAGCAAGCCCTCAGAAATGGACTGAATCCTGTGATGTGCTTGAAAGCCTTCAACTTGCACTGAAGTCATTCGGTGCAGAGGGCTTCCTGCATCCTGCAGTTAATTGAGTCTGCTCCACATGCGAACTGACATGCACTACGCTGCACCGCATGTGATTGTATAAGTGATGAATTGAGCGTCAGCGCACAGAAAATGTCAGCGGTCTGCTTTTGAACTAAAGCACCTCTGAGGTGTTTTAGTTCAAATGTACATCGCCGCCATTTTCTTTGCACTGACGTACATTACACCACTTATACAAATGCATGCATCACAGCGCTGGGTGTTTTTCAAGGTTCCCGGCACTGCAGTGCTTGCACATATAAAAAAGACCTACATTTCCACCCTGCCCTGCCTTCTGCCTGGCTTAAGAGTAACACAGTTAACTACTTCTCTTTGGGTGCATCTACACATGCAATCAATTTGAAGCAATAAATTCCAGAGCAGTTTGAGCTGAAGTAAACTACTCCCTAGTGGAGCATCTACATGTGTGCTCAGGACAGCAGCAATCTGAGCCAGGGCAGAGCAGTTTACTCCAGGGCCGTTAAGCCTTGGGCTCTGGGTGTAGGTGTAAGTGGTACAGGATCTGACTGGGACATGAGGACGCTGAAAGTGCAGAGCCAATGTGACTAGGCTGCGGGCAGGAGCCTGGCCTACAGTTGGCTGGGCTGATGGGGCACAATTTAAACCCATGGTCAGTGTCTACATGTACGTTTAATCACAGTAGAATACCCCAGCATAAAATAGTACTGTTCCCGACAGTATTATTTTACTGTGGTGTTAATTACTTTACTGCAGATTAAAACTATTGCATATGTAGATGGTGACACGTTCCTCCACAGTTTATTAGTCTACTCTGCAGCTAAGCACAAGTGGAGACATGGCTTTTATTTATGGTGTTACTCTGTATTTCTATTAGTGTAATGAACATCAGAAGCTGAGCCTGCAATGTGACAATTTTGTCACAAAAAAGCACATGGAATGATTTATCATTACATTTAAAAAAAAATACTCACTGTAGAACTTCCTTTCAGTAACCTAAAATGGCTGGGGATTTTTCTGAATATGATGAATAAGTGAGGAGTCATTTCTGAGAGGTTCTGTTCAGCTCAGGTGTTTTATAGAATATCTGGATGAGTTAGTATGCTTAGTATAATTGGTCCTATAGAACAGGACTGGTTATTATGGAAACATAAGTAATTTTTTCCATTATCTGAATGAAATTCTTTATACTAGAAGCCATTATTCAGATACTACAATTGATATTACAGTAAAAAGTGACAAGCTATTACTTTTTTTGGAATAGTAAGAACCATTTCCCTCTTTCTTTCAAAGAGCAGTCATGAGAATATGAGCAGCTCCTTATTTATCAGTAAGTAAAATGCTTCTGACAAGTATTTTCCCTTTTAAGATGTTCCATGAAGATGCTGCAGGAGGGTGGCAGCTTGTGGCTGTTGATGTGAATAAACCTCAAGGCAGAGCTCCAGCATGTCTGCAGGTACAACACTGCTTTTTAATAAATCAAGCTGTATAAGCACCAGCATTAGAATGGTGGCTTAGGGTAACTGGGTGGTGAGAAGAAACTGTTTGCAGGAGCTATCAGTTGCCTTAAACTCATTGCCTGTTTCAAGTCCTGATTCATGTGTTCCTGAAATATCGGTTAGCAAAGAAAGTGGTATTGACCCAAGTTATAAGAGTAGAAAAATGTATTTAAAAAAAGGCTATCCTATGTTGTCATTAACAAGGCGCTTAAAATATCATTTTATTACAACAACTAATTTAAATAATAATTGATTATATACAAACCCTTGCTTACAAATTGGTCCCGCCCCTGAACTACAGCAATAACTCAATACACAGCAGAAATATTCACATATTGACTATAAAATACAGTAGCATGCACTAAAAGACATACCCTCAGAAAACATACTGAACACATCTGTACCCAAATCCCTATTTTTATCTTTAAAATATTCATAATACAGCAGTGGAGTTATATAGAGTCTAACAAAACAACTTTTGAAACTTATATTGTTAGTTTCATGTGGATCTGTTAATAGATGTAGAACTAAGATAAGGAATATGTTTGTGAATGAAATTTTTTTCTTGACAGGACTGTAAAACTGCACCAGGTTTTATTTAGAAATGTTCAGTCTTGCCTGATAAGGAGTGATGCATGTTAGTGAACCTGCCTTACTACAGGGTATAAAACCAAGAACACTCTTGCAATCTGATAGTGTGTGCATCTGCTGAGGCATGGTTTTGATAATGTTCAGTCTTCAGTACACATACTTGTTGGTTATGCGTGTCTGGATGGCAAACTCCTTTTACGAGCTGTTTGGGTGATTGCACATTTTTAGAGTTGCATTAGCTTGTCACACTCTTGGAGTCCGCGCCTTTTATTCAGGGCATGCCCATTAATTGTTCAACACAAAGGCATAAATTCAGTGTGTGAATGTATCTAGCCTACCAAAACATCATTTGCACTGTGTTCTCAAGTGATAATCACATGTGGGTGGAGAAAATTCAGCCAAATGGATTGTGAAAACTCCATTGAATAAGGTCAAAATAGCATCTGACTTACCTAGTCTGTCTTTGTCCAGACACTGTAGTGCTGCATTATCCTTCTGTTTTAGGAGTTGCAAAAGCACATGATAAATGGAGCTCCACTGAACTGGAACCTCATGCTTCAGCTGATACAGTGGCTTTTTTTACTGTTGCAGCTCAGTTAGTAGTTTTCTTGTTTTGATAGATTGATGCGACTTCATTCTTCTGTGCAACATCTAATGGATTTCCAGTGATCTATTGCCTTGCAGGAGGCTATTGAAAAATCAAAGAAAAAATGCAATAAAATATTGTAAATTATGGTAATATTCCAGCCAGATTGTGTGCTTTCCAAATACAGAGGAAAACACGATCCCCAACCCAAAGAACATACACTCTAAAAATCTAATAAATGCATACACATAAGTCATTTCATGCTGTATAACTTTGTTCAATTGCACCATTGCTTAAATAACAATAGAACAGTTTTAAATAGGTTATATATTTAAAATCTCTACAATAGATTGAAAGCATTTGTTGTAAATTGTGTTAGGTAGTGCTGTTCGCTCAGGGTCCAGAATGCTATGTCCCTTTTCTCAAGGTTGGCACCTAATTGACATGGTGCTTTCTCCCTCCTCCTCAACTTCCTTTCCTGTAACTGCTTAGTAGCTAAAACAGTGGCCTAGGAAGTAGGAGACTAGGGTTTAATTCCCTCCATAATTTACAAATGATGTAATTTAATCTATCCACACTTGGAGACATGTGTAGGAGAAGGAGAGAGATTAGCCAGCTGTTAGCTTAGGATCTATCTATATTGAGACAGTAATGTGTTCTGGGGGCATAGAGCTTAGCACACCCTGTCTTCACTCCAGTCTACTGAAATCCTCTACAGCTGGAAGTTCACTAGTGAGACTGCTCGAGGCGTGTCCTCAGTACCCACTCTGGAGTCTCTGGTCTCCAGCAAACCAGAGACCAGGCCTGGGGGTAAATCCAGAGCAGCTTCGCTGATGAACTTCAGGGTCTGGAGTGTCAGCACTCAGGTAGGTGGGGTGTGCTTAGCCCTGTCTTCCATAGGATTGGCTGCTGAAGCATCTTGACACAAGATGGGACAGTCGTTTTGTGGGTGGGACGGCAGAGAGAAACAGAAAGTGAGTGCATGGACATATAGCAAGGATTTACTCCCCTAAATTGAAACAGTGGGTTTTTAATTGTGATGATTAAAAACCCGCTGTTTCAAGTTAGGGGCTTCTGTCACTGTTATGATGAGGGGCCTGGTCCCTTTTTTTTTTTTTCTTGGAGCCTACCTATGTCTCCCGTGGCAGGGGAGTGAGCTGCTGGTGGGCCATGAGCTGCAGGGGGGGCCCCAGTTCTTCCCTCTGTCTGGGTGGGCTGCTAGCAGCGGGGTGCTGCCCAGGGGACACTGCCACCATGGAGGGAAGGTCTAGGGCCCCCTCCAGCTCAGGGCCCGTGGGAAGCTCACCACCCAGCTTCAAGAGAGACAGGCAGGCTCTGTGGGGATTAAAAGAAAAAAAGGCTCGCACCCTTCTCTGCTCTTTTTTTTTCCCCCCCGCAGTGGAGCATGACTGCATGAGCTGCCAAGGTGCCTGGTCCTTCCCTCTGCACGGTTGGTACCCTCCGGGGCCACCCAGGCACGGAGCTATCTGTGTGGGTGTTGCTCCAGCTTGCAGGCAGCACCCGCTGGATCCAACTGTTCCTGGAGCCTGTGTACTAGAAGTCTGCCAGGCACTGCTCCTCACGCAAGCTTGGGGAAGAGTTGGATCTGGTGGGTGCTGACTGTGAGCTGGGGCAGTACCTGTACAGCTAGCACCCTGCTTGGGTGGCTCTGGGGGCACTTCCACTGTGGAGGGAAGAACCAGTCCCCCCTGCAGCTCAGGGGCTGCGTGGCCTGGTGGCAGCCTATGCAGACAAGCTCCACTGAGAAAATTAAAAAAAAAAAAAAAAGTGGCAAGGAACCTGATCCTTTTTTTTTCTCATGGATCCTACCCGCCTCTCCTGTGGCAGAGCAGGTAAGTTGCCAGCAGTCCCTGAGCTGAGAAGGGCCCCAGACCTTCCCTTCATGGTGGTGGCACCCCCTGGGGCCACCTGGGTGGGCTGTTTGCAGGAAGGTGCTTCCCCAGCTCGCCGCTAGCACCCAGCTCAATCCAACTGTTCCCTGAGCCCGAGCTGGGGCAGCACCTGCCCACTAGCAGCCTGCCCAGGCAGCCCCAGGGCATGCTGCCACCGCCAAAGGAAGGACCAAGGCCCTCAGCAGCTCAGGAGCTGCTCAGCCCACTGGCAGCTCGCCCTGCCACTTGTGAGAGACATGGACAGTTTCCAAAAAAAATAAATAAATAAAGGATTAGGACCCTTACCACTTCTGCTTTCAGCCCACATCTCCCACAGTGGGGGGACGGGAGCAAGCTATCAAAGGTTTCAATGTTATAAATAGGTACGTTGCAAACTAAATGACATGTGGATGTGGTGTAGTTTGCAATATAGCAAACTCATTTAAATCGTAACATCTCCCCCACCCCACGTGTACAGCATGATGCAATGAAACTGCAAAAATGGCTAACTTTCATCATATGTACAAGCGCCCCTAGAAAATCACACAGAAATGCACTTTGGTTTGGCCAAGGGGTCTTTGGAAGGCTGTCTAAGCACGATGTGAACTTGGCCTCCCACCACTGTAATATAAAAGTTATGATATTATACATTTTTGCTTTGTTAATTAATATAATAATGACATAACCCCAGAGCCCCAAACAAACATGTACAATGTTTTTATTTTTTATAATTTGTAGTTTTCAAGATACCAGGGCCCAACAAAATCATAAGAATCATCATTTGAATTTTTAGGGTGGGACCAGTTTTAACTGCTTAGGATTCAGAAACTAGTAACTGGTTTTATTGTAACTCTGTAGAAAACTCAAGCTTTGCTCAAGAATTGTGAGAAACAGGATAGATGCTCTTTTTATATATAAACCAGAGCATGAAAGACAAAGTGACAGGGGATGCCTGACAAGGAATGCCTCAGATCTATAAAGGTTGAGAACCACTGGTTCATTAATTGCCTTATGGCTAAGATTCTTATATGGCAAACTTCTGGGACCTTTGGCTCTTGTATTTAGTTACCCTAGATCTCTGACTTTTGCCTCCTTTTTTTGGATGGGCTTATAACCTGACACCAAGTTTCAAATACAGCCCCAGAAAAATGACCTGTTGCGCATGCATTATTTTTTTCTGCAATCCTTCAATAGAATTGTGACTTTTTCAAATATGTCTTCACAGTTCTGTCAAAAAACGGTCACTTGTGCCCCCCCTAATTTCTTCTACTAAACAGTTAAATAATTTGGAATACACTGAAATTTGTCAGGGAAAATATATTCTGCATACTTCAAGTTGTTATCTTTCAAAAAGAGTGCTTGGGTTTATTGTAATTTACTTGGGTATTTTTACTGTGATTTGAATAGGCTAGGTGGACTTTGTTTTAGAAGTCTCTTCATTGATGGACATTCACTAGAACTTGTACTTATAATTTGCATTTGCAGACAATTTTCGGGGCACATCAGTGTCAGTGGAGAATAGAAAGGATTCAGTAATGCCAGTAAACTTAAGATTCAGATGAGTTTCTCTTAGAAAACTTGATTTCTGGGGTTAAATGTGTCCAGTGTTTCAAATCCCTTCAAGCTGAAAACAGGTATTTAAATTGTCATGTAGCTTTTTTGTGTTTAGCACAATTACAGCAATCAAAGCATTTGAAGCAGCAGCAGCATGACTTTCTTAGTGCTGTAACTCTGATGGCAAATTTGAGCAAAGTGGAAGACTGCAGAGCCTTAGAATAAACTAGCTGTTTTTACCTCCTTTCAGTTGCCACCCTCCTCTTTAAAAAAAAAAAAAAAGATTTCCTAAGAAAGGCAGCTTTTCACTATATCTGTACAATAATTCAGAAGC